ATGCGCGCGCAACAGGTCGTTTCCGGTTATTTTTGGGTCCCCCTTCGTATATATATATATATATATATATATACACTTGCAATTTTTTAAAAAATTATTGGAGAACCTTGGTTCCAAGGATTAATGTTGAAAACATTATGAAACTGGGATTTGTATTGGAATAAATCTACTTTGTACATTACAACTGAAGCTTTATTGAAACATTACTATACGTACAGTACATTATTTATTTAAATTACCCAAAGCGTTTAGTTTGTAGTGATGTCACTGAGTTTGAGGAGCTTGGTGAAGCGTCTTCTAATCACTTCCTTTTCCTGTATTCTCTCATATATGCAGCATGATTATTACTGGCGGACATCTTATCAGTGCCTGAGATCATATGCTGGCAGTTTGGCTATAGTATTGTGACNAAAAAAAAACTTTTTTTTTCTTATGATTGCATTCGGATTTGAACATTAATTGTCAAAATCTCCCTCTCCCATAGTAATAACAAGAACAAATTTATTTTTAATGTTAACTTCTCTCTTTGTGCCAAAAGAATATGATGAAAGAAAAACTTCAGTGAGACACATTACCAAACACTGAGTACCCATTTTTAAAGATTCAAGTTTCTGCAAATATACNGTTGCTAGACAATGGCTCAGTAATCATGTTTCTGCAGCAATGAATGCAACTAAAGAAGCAATGCATTGCATAGAGAGACATCGATTCCTAGGTAACACATGCAGAAACTTTTCTTTTACGACTGAGAATTGAAGGCTGTTCACACGGCAACGAACCGGTCAAAAGACAGTAGTGGCTAAGAACACGAGAACTCTATAGTTGGAGGTGATCTCCATATAGTTTGACCAGAACCTTCCTCAGTGAGAGAATCAACGCACAGAATATGACAGAAGACAATACAAACAGAAGTCAGAAGAAAAAGTCAGGAGTTAAGTCTTTATTTTATGTGTAGTTAACAATAACCTTCAGAGTGTGATCATGGTTCACAGTTACGAAGTGTTATATTTACAGTAAGATTTTGTTACCGCTAATTGTAGTTCTGCCTAATGAATAATAAATTGCTTCATTTAATCCAGGACCCATTAATTGTCACATTACCAGAATACACATGACAGTATTGCCTGATCCACTGAACAGGGGAATTGAATTAGCCATATCTGTTACAAACAGATGGTCATAACTCGTAAGCCATAAGCAATGGACCAAAACGGATTGCATTTTTGAGAAGCTCGCATTTATTAACATATTTTACTCTCAATATGTTCGTGTCCACATCTTATGGTTTGGCCCTGGTAGGTGGTTGAATGTATAAAAATAGGAAAATGATTACTTGTTTTGGGTAATTGTTTAAGCAATGTACAGTTTTGTTTTGGGAACAAAATAAACATCATTTTTGGATAAATCAGTCTCTATCCTTTTATACATATATAACATTATAAGATATGTCATAGGTCTTGAGATATTAATGGTTACATAAGAGGTTGCACAAGTGTTACGCTCAGTGTCACTTTCGGAAAAATTGTTACATTTTCTGTTACTTGCAGCTTCATTCCATTTGCACCATCATATAATATTTTCAATGTTAAAAGAAAAAGAATGATATGACCATATTTTGTTCTTCCTGTGAAATGGGAAGTAAAAATAGATATTTTCTCCCCCCCCCATTTTCCAGCTTATGATTTAGGTATTTCTATGATCCTAATTTTGGTGAACCCAATGGCTAATTGAGCAATTTTATATTTCTCCTCTCTTATGTAATGCCCATTGTTTGACACAATTTCACTTTGACCACAGTCTACTGAAAACATTTATCTAACAACCTTGTTGCTTCATTGGCAGCCCTTTTAAAATTTCTGCATTTTGTTTCCATGACATATACCTGTCATGCACGTTATTCCAGCATGTTATATTGTTTGTTTGTTTTTATTTATTTATTTTCACATTTGTTTTTCGGGTTTTCTCCGCTTGATTTTGTTACAGTCAGTTCGCAAACTTGAAAAGGACTTAGGTGAGAAACTCAGCAGCAAGAGGTGCCATTCAATTCCAGCCTTGAAACGTGGGGATCACATAGATAGATATTTCCCAACAGCAGGTAAGGTTCTAATAGGAGTGGATGTCAGGATATCATATTAAGGGTGTATTGAGAGGTTTTCCAGAAACATTAAAAGAATAAAAAATGGACTGTACTGACTTTTCAGATACATTTGTTACATATTTGCATTCTCATATGTTCTCATTGTTCATTTATAGCAGATATAGATTAATTTCTTTGATCCTACACAACTTGTGCTGTACTCATATGGCAGAAATGAGCACTACATTTGTTTAAAAAATTACAGTGCATACTCAGTTATCCAGCATCTATGAGAAATTGGATTTTCTGGTTATATGAATCTGCCATTTGCATGAGAAGCACTTCCAGGCACCCAATTTTCACCCATTTCAGGTCTTCTGTGTTTCAGTCTCTTTGTTTTCAAAGGCAAAACAGCATATGTTCACTTCAATTCTTAAGTGGGAGTCATACTGGATGAAAATTTTCAAGTATATTGTAACATGAACACAAATTCAGCTGGTCTCTAACCCCACATCACTACAGCTGTAATTGCCATATTAAAGTATACAGTATGGTTGTATAAGAAGACTAAATATCTGGCTCGGTATATATAACAAGTTGTGTAACAGTGAGGCACAGCTCTGAAATTATGCAATTTCTGGTTACCATAGCAACAAATTGTGGAGTGTTACATGTAAGTTATGTAGTGAGTCACAAATGAGCAAGCAATGTTTTGTTTCTAATCAGGAATCAAGTAGCTTGTAATAAATAGGATTCCTGCGAAGAAAAAAGTAAAGCTATCCCTGTTACAGGCCATGGAGGCTCATAGGATTGGGAGACTTTGGGGCTCCCACATTTTCTAGACAGTCTGCTCACAGATGGCGATGAAGTTGTCACTCTTACTAGCTGGCAGTGCTTTACCCCCAGGAAGATTTTTGATACTCATTTCTATTAGAGGTGAGTCATTTCCAGGGCCATATTGAGGCTGGGGGATTAGGTGAATTGAAAAGCCAATGACCTCATTGGGAATTGAACCAACAACCTTCCAGCTTGTAGGATAGTGCCTCAACCAACTACACTATCACATGCCCCATATAGAATTCCTTTATTAGTATTTTCAGTTTACTGTTGTTTACTGTTCCAAACAAGGTGCATTGCATTCAACTCTGTGATGTCTGTGTCACTCCACAATCTTTGCAGAGATTTATAAACAGCTACAGAGAACATTTCAGTGTTTCCAGTCGGTATGCAGACCCTTGTTGCTTCTATTGATAGGATAGGAGGTAGGTTGATGCAGGTGTGAGGGATGCTTTTTTTAACTGCAGTAGCAGTTCCACCTTTGTGTGTGTCTTCATGGTCAACCCAAAAAAAATCATGGTTTCTCCAGTTCTAAAATTTCCTGGCACAGACCCAATAGAAAACACTGTTTCAAACAGTTCCTCTCTTTTTTTCGTGTGTATCTATTGTCGCGGAAACCAGCTGTCATGTTTTGTTTACTGGCCATTTCATAGCAATTTCCATCCCTTCAGGCTCCACTGTTCCACCTTTCAGGTGTCATGTCGCAATATATTCAATTCTATCAATTTATTAAGTGCTTAACAACAGCTTAAGGGTCAATCACAAGCAAGCACTGAAGGAAAAAATAACTAAATACGAGGGCTGTCCAGAAAATAACCTACATTTATTTTAGGCAGCTAATGTAGGAGCGGGAGAGAGCTCATGCATGCAAGGTAGCATGACGTGACTCATTGCCTTATAAACCATCACATAACATGTCACCTAGTGTTCTTGTGTCAGCAGAGTGAATTATGATGTGTCCTGCAATCGATAATCCTGCCAGCTGTGAAAGTCATGCTGCTATCCGCTTTCTTCATGCTAAAAACAGGAGTGCTGTGGAAATGCATCATGAATTAGGGGTGGTTTACATCCAAAATATACTGAGTGAGGGAACTGTAAGGCAGTGGTGTAGAATGTCCAAAGATGGGCGACCAGATGTTCACGATGAAGGGTGAAGTGGTCAGCCATCTGTAGTAAGTGATGATCTTGTTCAAAAGTGTTGCCCAGAAAATTTTGTGAAAGACAGCACATCACAATTTCAGAACTTTTGTGTGAATTTCCACAAATTTCACACACACTTCTGTATGAGATTCTCACATTTAGGCTAGGCTGTCACAAGCTTTACACAAGATGGGTTCCGAAAATGCTCATGAGTGCAACCAAAATGCAGAGAATGGCTTGGGCTTTGAATTTTTTTTGGAATGATACCACAAAGGTGGTGAAGAATTTCTCAGTCACATTGTACAAGTAACAGGTGGCGAAACCTGGGTTTCATTTGTGAGTTTTGAAACCAAAGAGCAGTCAAAACAGTGGATACACACAACATTCACCACACAAGCTGAAGAGCTTGAGCAAATGTCTGCCTGCCAGAAAACTGATAGTAGTTGTTTTATGGGACGCGAAAGGAGTGCTGATGGTGGAATTCATGTAACAAGGGATGCCAATAGCATCAGAAGTATATTGCAAAACATTAAAAAACTGTGTAGGGACATTCAGAACAAAAGACATGGATTGCTGGCATTTGGTGTAGCGCTCATCCATGACAATGTGCATCCACATACAACTGCTCGCACTCAAGCACTGCTGGAGGATTTCAGCTGGCTGTTGTTTGACGTCCTCCGTACAGCCCTGATCTCACTCTGAGGGACTAACACCTGTTTACCTACCTGAAGAGCTGGGTGGGATCAGAGTGCTTCAACAATAACGAGGAGTTGAAAGAAGATACCAAAATGTGGCTGAGCTCACAGGTGGCAAACTTCTTTGACACAGGCATACATAAACTTATTCCCTAATATGACAAGTGCCTCAATTCCAGCAGTGACTAGGTTGAGAAGTAGCTTAAGTATGTATGTGTTTTTTGTTATATATTGTAACATGTTTATTTAACAATCTACAAGTCGTAACTACAAATGCTTATGACACTGTTACAGGTTTACACACTTTACAAACCCTACACAGTCGTCTCTTCACTCTATCTTCAATAGTCTTCACTTATTCACAGTACAACACAGGAGCTATACAAGTGTCACCGTATTACACACTCCCAACATAATTGTACTACAGCACACACAGAGTCTTGAAGTCACACAATAACTCTTACTGGCTGACTTCTCAGCTGTTGCACACTTTCACTAATTACCACGCATTTGGTTCTTCTTCCCACGACTGCTGTACTTCAACTGCTCTCGGCAACTTTGCAATCCACACTCTGTCACTCCTAATCACACACTTGCTCACACACTGCTCAGCCACCCTTTTATACCGTTCCCTGTTGCCTCGTGTTAACAGCGGTGTCCCCTGTTACATCACAGTGGAAAGTGCTGTTACGTCACCGCAGGAAGGGGGGGGCAGAGTGTTTACTGGCCTGTTACTGTAGCAGCGGCAGCAGATCATCTGCTGTTACGTCACCGTGGCAATGGTTGCCTGACACAGTTGCTCTGCTGTTACATCAGAAAGGGGGAGTGTTTACCAAGCGTTGCATAATGATGGAAGGCGTGGGGGTATGTGGCATCACTCACGAGACCGCAGAGTTCACGTGACCCCTACTTCCTGTTGCGCCACCCATGTCACACTGCTCCCTTCTGAAGGTTGTTCATCCCGAACGGCCTAATGGTACATCGCCGTTCCTTTTTTGGAGGTCCGCTGTTCGAAGTTTGGCGCCAGGGGGCATGAAGTCATCGGGCCACAGAACTGATGGCGTATGAGAGTTGTTTACATCAGTTAAGATCATGAGGTTCTGTGATGTTTCAAAGTCGATGGTTTCGTATGTAGTTGAACCCTGGGTCAGAAGTCGTTTGCGTGTCGTGGCTTGGTTATAGATGGAGAGATTGAATTCGTGCCAAGTGATGCCATACGATGCAGCTGATAATATGTTGAAGTTTTTGAGAGAGTTGTTTTCTTGTTCATCCAATCCTATCCAGAATTGGAGTAAATGGTAGGGTATCACCATCGCGCAGGCACCAGCCTCGCAGAAGGATAGGTTGATCCACATTGAGCGTTTTATTTCTCCGTGGACGTGCGTGGTTTTGATGGGTATGGGAACAGTAGATGTGGTAGGATGCATGTGCTTGCCGTATCCATCCAACTCGACTTGGTGTGTAGTTTGTCCATGAGCTGCCACCGAGGATGGCTTCATACGTTTAGATGGCCTGTCGTCTTGTGGCTCATGCATCTTCGACTTCTCCAGCTCTTGAAACAACGTCGGGTGAATCCTGTAACAAGAGCTGGATCTGAAGTTGCTGAAGTTTGTCGAATTGGGTGTTGGAGTATGGTTTTGAGGTTTCAGAGATGGGAAGAGAGGCCAGGAGAGAGATATATTGGTCGTGGATGTGTTGTAGATGGTGGAGGAAGAGGGCGTAGAGGTCGTGCTTAGTGATGATGGAAGGAGGTTGTGGGATGGTGCCTGTACGGTCTACGAAGCTGGAGATTTGTGTGTTGAGGTCATACTGAAACAAGCGTTGTTTTAGAGGAGAGACATCGTCGGCTGAAACCCAGTTCCATATCGGTTGGTTTGTTGATACGAAAATGGGGAGCCTGTTGATGATCTCCTTGTCCGAGTGTTTCATGTCTGTCGGTATCGGAGATCCTTCGAGGAGCAGCTTCCACGTGCCGACTGTTGTTTGATCAATGATGGGTTCTTCAAACAAGACGGCCGTGCTGTTTGGTAGCTGGTCTAGGTGGAAATTAGACTTGTCCCGTTCCCTGGCGATTCTTGTGGGTTTGGTATCGGATAGTAAGAGGTTAAGGATGAGGGATTTGCCAGTATTGGTGGGTCCTTGGATGACGAAAGTGTTGATTTTGGTGATGTTGGTGGAATGGATGATGAGGAATTTGGCGAAGAATTCGTCAACATTGATGGAGTTAGATGAGAAGAGACGTGTAAGCCAAGTGACGTTGGGATGTTGAACGAGGGAGAGGTCGAGGGAATCGATGATTAACTGATAGTAATGTTTGGTTTTTATGGTTTGCAGGGCCTCGATGGT